CAGAGGTTCTGCCAGCAGTGTAGCAGGTAAGACAATAATTAATTATTCTATTTTTGGAGGTTAATAATAAATTAAATGGGTTTAATTTGATTTTAGGTTTCATGTGACCTCTGAGTTCGATGATTCGAAGAGGAGCTGTAGGAGGAGATTAGCAGGGCACAATGAGAGGAGAAGAAAGAGTTCTCATGAATCTGTTGCACCCAGGAACTGCCCCCAAGGTACCCAATAATTCCCAATTCCATTTTCTTTTCATTTTAAGTAATTCATACCCACAAATGTGTTCATTCGGAATCATTGTTGTTGTTGTTGTTTTTTGTTTTTTTTCTCCCCTTTAAAGTTTCATTTTCTTCAAGTTATCATTCTATTTGATCATTATGTTTAAGTTCTTTCAAACTTYCATAGGTCAAATTAGAAAGTTTAGTGGGCAGTCTCAAAAGAGGCTGCTGATGGAAGTACAAAGCCAAACTAAAAAGTATGTGCAGTAATCAATATGGAATTCGAACTTTTATTTTTTCTATAATAAAGCATGCTCAAGAATAATGATGAGTATATATGGCAATTCAACTTTAATTTACGAACCGCACTTGATCATCGCTCAATTCCCAATTATAATTATATCTTCTTCCTTTTTGTGAAACAAGGCATAAAGAGAAGAAGAAGAAATGATTTATTTAGTTTTAATAGTGTTAAGTGAGAAAGTGATGGAATGGAAAGGGACTGCATGTGCAAATCATTATTATTTTGAATTCTAGGTTTCCATTTCAAGTAAAACTCACAATCGAGACTTAAACAGTTGAGAATTCTTTTAATTAATCGATTAGAACTTGGAATAAAATTGGGGGAAAATTGCAGAAAACAAGTCGACGACGGGTAGATATGCGTACATACCATCACCGACGGGACGTGCTCTCTCTCTTCTGTCATCGAAGAACGATTCGTGGGCGACCTCATCGGAGCTGTCGTTGAGATCGAGCGCAGCGCTCCGGGAACTGATAGCGGAGAATCGCGCAGCCATCCTCGCTCGGCAGCTCATTCTGGACAGAGACTGGCAGTCAAACGGCCACACGGCGGCGGATGAGTTTGGCGGTGGTGTGGCATTCCATCAGGCGGGGGCCGGGGGGCTGTACTGCGAGCAGCAGCAGCAACAGAGCTGGGAGAGGATGCACGAACATGGCGATGGGCACGTGACGCTGGACCTGATGCAGGCGCCGAGCACGGCGTTTGGGCTATTATCTGTGAGGGGAAAATACAAGGAAGAAGATGAAGAGTGTWGCGAGTTATGGAATTCCTTTCACGACTCTCATGTTGTTTAACAACTGTTATCAAATATATATATATATATTTTCCTCTCCATGGAATCATTAACATTTTTCTTCTCTCTTATGAACTCCAACCTTCTATTAACATATGGTTTTGTTTTTGTTTTTTTTTCCTTCGAGGATAATATTGTGGGAGTGGGGGATCGAATTCATAATCTTTATATCAAAGATAAGTGTCTAACCATTTGAACTATGTTTGGTTTGACAACATCCGGTTTTGYTTATTTGGACAATTCACAATAAGTATATAAAAGTAAAAATCATAAATAAAATGACAAGAAATATTTCGAATTATGATGTACTTCATGTCAGGAAAAGGAAAAGAAGGTCAAACATCATTTGTTTAATCTAACTCAAATYCAATTTGATTTCACATCAACTCTTGCTGGAGTCTAAAATAGACTTCTCTTTTTCATTTTGATACTTTAAATCGATAGTAGTTGATTTGAAACGCTGACATGCACATGCCGCAAAATCTGACTCAAATGTCAAATTTCATTTCAAATCAAAATATTTTTACTCATTTGGGTTCCATCTCTGCCCCACTCCAACCATGGAATTTTACACCTTTGATAGATGTCTACGATGTATTTACCTTCTACTCTTTAACTACTAAACTATAAATTAACACACACTAACATATAACCCCACAAACCAAATCCAGAGAACTAAAAACATCCCAAGTTTTAACATTGAAACAAAATTTACTTTTAAAGATAACTCTGGAGTCGAGCGTAGTTTATATAAACTGCCAAAACTTTTGTGCGGGTGTTAAATCAAGGAAGCCTTTGGAAGTAATGCATATTTCAAACATAACCATAAATTATGAAAGCATTTTATAAGCCAATAAGGTTTTCCTAACACAACCTTGCTTTAATGAAGCAATAAGGTAATATAACCCATGTAAATAAAACGAATGCCTTGTTCCACACAAGGAGGCCAAAATTGTAGTGCAGATTGCTACACATCATCCCTGTAAGCCATAATGAAGTAGAAAGCAGATTGCAGTCGATATAAGACAATCAGACGAGTCCAGAATCCCATCAGTTCTGACATTTAAAGTTTCACATGCTACTACTGCAGGCACCTAAATATAGACCTGGTGGGATGTCAAATTCAAAACTATCATCAAAGCAAAGACTCAGAGATATTATCTATTCTGATCTCAGCAAGCACAATTACATGAATAAACAATACAGTAAAGTGAAATAGAATGTACTTGGATTGTTTTCTACACTTCCACGAGAATCAGTCCTCCATCCAAGTCACAACAAAGTTGAATTTCACAAGCATCAGCAAGAAGGATCCTGGATGGACTTCAATTCCCATTCCTCACTCGTATGGGAATGGCATAATAGTYGGGCAAAATCAATTTGGCTTGTCTGTCAGCGTTACTAATGACTTAAGCACCCCCGGACTGATCTTGTCAGCAAGGGCACCTTTTTCTGAAATCAGAAGCGACTGATCCTTCACATAACTCTGTAATTTCTTGGCCTCAAAATCAAGTTTTGACTGATCTGCCATGTGAAAGGAATACAGACCAAAAACAATTATTCAAATGTCAAAATAAGGAGAAAGCTCTACCAAGTACAAGTGCATTATAGACTGACGATTGTATTATTCCACAAAATTTAAAATRAAACTAAAAAAATCTGGCTACAACTTTCTTAACGTCCGACGTTAAGGAAGTAAAAAATGGGAAAGCAGCTTCGTAAGTTCAAAATGGGAGATCCATATTTCCCATAGATCATTCATAAAAATAAAATTACTTGTTTCATCAAACCCAAGAGAAAAATCTACAAAAACCACAAACMTTACACACCCTCCCCATCCAACTTAAGAGATTGCTTTTGGCCACTGCAGATTACAAGGACAGGTAACTTCCATTAAATTCGTGAAGCTTTAAGGATTTAACTAGATCCATCAGTAGAAGGTGAATGAACATGAAACTGCATATCTAATAACGAGGTCTAAAGGATTATTCCTTAGAGAGCCATGTACCAATAGATAACATAAACAAACAGCATCAAATGAAATGTCCCAGCAATAACCTGTTTCCAAGATTGAATGAGCGGCATGAAATGGCACCCTGGCAAACAAATCAGTTCCTGGGAACATCATCCATGTGCGCTCATTAGAGTCATGGTTCCCGCATGAAGTRCAAATCTCCTTGACTAATGGCCTTGATTCAGAACCCCCCATCTCCTTCATAATTGACTCAAACGGAGATGGGACACTAGACTTGGTTGTCCGCGCTCGCCTCCTCAAAGCAGTCAACGCTTCTCTGTTCCCATTCCTCACTCTATCATTTTCGACCAACTGAAATTTTAATCCCGTACAGGTCACATTTCCTTTCGACTTCTCAAAGTTATAGACCAATTTCATTTCAACAATAGACGAATGCGATGCGACACTTCAACTTCAATTTTCACAACTACAGAATGTATATCGCGAGAAGAAAATACAAGTAATCTTATAAGCCATGTTTCCAATTTTCTAATATTTTGAGCTTACCTCGTTACGGGCTATAAGTAGGCGCTCTGCTTCGGTTTCTAGCTCAACTAAGCTTTCTTGAAATTGTCTCATTGTCTCATTCATTTTGATCCCACCTAAAATCTACACCGAGACATTATCAATAACGTTTAAACATGAAGCATGCAGAGCAAATCTTTCAGACTCCCTAAACGAAAATGGAAAATGTAAGTTGCGACTGAGAGAGAGAGAGACATAGTCATGTTCACAAAGACAAACAAGAATCTCCACTTCATGACTGTCAGATTATGCCAGTACCAAAAGAGGGCTTCTAGAATCTAAGGTAACAAAAAAACCCTCCATCGTCGCTCTCTCTTCAAATTCCCAAAACCATTCAAAATTGGAAAGAACAAAAGAAAATAATACCTTGGTCTCTTCGATGATATTCGTAAATTTT